CCCCCACTGTACCCTCCTCCCATGCCACAACCTGAGTATCCTCCACTGCTTCCCCCTCCAATGATGCTCTTTGATCCTGAAGATCCACCACCATATCCCCCTCCCATCCCATATCCAGAGGATCCCCCACTGCAGCAGGATCCGCCTCCTCCACCACCAGAGCTGATGATGACTTTGCCGGAGCCCACTCCGCCCCCGCAGCAGGAGGAGCCTTGGGATTGGTAACTGGAGGAGCTGTGGCAACCAGAGCCCTGGCTGTGGCACCCGCTGGACTGGGAGGACATCCCATGGCAGCCTCCGGAGCTTTGTCTGGAGCACATCTTGGAGCAGTGACCCTGCAAGGAACGGAGCCGTCAGAAAGGAGGACCTTGGACACGCAGCTGAGCCTTCCCAGCTCAGGAAGGAAGAATTCCCAGGACTTGTCCCATCTTCTGCAGCCCTACTTTAAACTCCCACCCTGAGACCTGCCCTGACATCCCAGGGAGATCTCTGCAGGTCACAACAGTTCCAGGAACCCTCTGTGTGCAGGGAGGTTGGGAACACTTCCTGAGGTTTGCACACACATGCTCTGACATGCCTGAAAAATGGTGTGGATCCTTCTGGATGTCTCACACTGACTCAGCAGCTCAAAGTTCAGCTTTCAGAGCTCCACCTGCAACGCCCCTGTCTAAGGAAGGGAGCTCTGTTGGCACCTCCAGTTGGTTTTGGAGCCATCACATTTCCAAGAACACCCAAAGACAAACTGGTGGAGGGATCTCCCTGTATAGAGGTTCCAGAAGTTTCCGTATCCACGGGCTTACCTTCAGTGCTGGTGGGAACGTGGTGATGCTCGGCGTGGGTTGAATGAGGAGCGCTGGGATGGCTGAGCTTTTATACCAGCTGCACCGTGCTCCCGAGGGAAGTGAGACACCCTAAGGAATGCTGAGAGATTTATTGACAGAGCTTGGCCTCAGTTGCCTCCTTCCTTGACTCACCTGCAGCAGAGGAGATGCGAAGGAGGCGCATCGGCCCTGTTCTATATCGCAGCCGCTAATTCCGCCTAATGATTCCCTTCCGGGAGCCTCGCTCTGAGTTTTTGGGGCAAACGGCATCTTGGGGTCTGTTTTGGGGGGCCCTGATGTGTTTCTGCTGGGATGGAGCTCTCTGGGTGGTCAGGACAGAGTGGGGACTGAGCAGATGCCGAGTGGAGTGAGTTGGAGCCAGACAGTGACAGAAGGACAAGGATGAAGGATGTGCTTGAGCAGAGTCACAGAGAATTTTGGAGAATTCCCTCAAAGACTGGCAAGACGGGGAGCAGGAGCATGTTCATCCTGCTGGTAAAGGCCAGAGGTGCCACCCCAACAGAATTCCCTTCTCTGGAGCTGCCCAGATCTGTGTCAGAGGACGTGACAGTGACAATGGGGATATTTTCCTCCAGTCTTTTGTGACCCCAAGGTGGAAGTGGCTGTTGGAGTTCCACAGAGGTCTGTGCTCAGCTCCAGCTTCCAGGGGTCTCAGTCTCCAGGCTGGAGTGGGGAAAACCTTGGAATCCTTCCAAGGCTCCAACCTCCTCCATCCTTGGAATCCAAAGTTGCACTTGAAGGCCATCAAGACCTGACCCTTAAACTCCAGGACATTAAACACCTCCTCTACCTCAACGGACCCAATTCTGAGGGTCTTTGGTGGCCACCCCACCCACACCTGAGCAGGGGAGTCACCTGGATGTGTTCCCTGCTGGAGGATGACAGTTTGTCAGCACAGCTGTCCCAGCACCATCTCTGTGTCACGCGTGTTTGGAGCCTGACAGCAGCATCCGCCCTCCCGGGACATTGAGTAGAGGAAGGATTAATAGGGGTTCTGGCTGTGGGGATGAGTGACAGCAGCAGCAGGTCCCGGCTGTCATCACCATGAACGTGACTTTGAACACATGACATCCATGGGATAGGGACAGGGCCACCAGCAGCAGGGACACACGTGCAGGGGCTTCCTTCGTTCTGCTTTGGAGTCCCTCCCATGGCCTTATCTCTGTTCTCATCTCCAGATCTGAGGTGTCACCGCTGTTCTGGCT